CAGCCCCCCCGTGGGCTCTGTCTGGGTGGAGGCCTCAGACGAGCCCCGGGAAGGCCGCGCCCCCCTGGCAGTTATGTGATTTGCTAGGTAATTCTTTTTGGTAAACTGAAATTTATTAGATATACTTTGGTATAAAAATAACCAATATTAATGATTACACATACAAAAGAAGACAATCACTCTTGGAAACTTCACATTACAGTGAATCATTTAAGGATAAATACTAGCAGATAAGTCTAGAAATATTTCCAATGTTGTCCTAATAACATCTTGGTATAGGTAATTTTCATTTTTATTCATATTCATTATTCATTTTCATCTGGGCACCATTGTTGTCTTTACCCCCATCTGACCTAAATTATAGTGTGATTTTTACTTTTTCTGAATATTGTTTTCTAACACAGGGAGGTTCTTTTCAGTGGTTGAAGTGGTTTTTACTTTATGTATATAAATATAACTAATGTGTAAAGTACTTTTAGATATTGTGGGCTGAAAAGGTGTTATTTTAGTATATTATTATTTATTATTAAAACCTTTTTCCCCCAGGTTCTTCCACTGGAAAATAGAATGAAAGAAACCACACGTTTCCCACAAGCACTGAACATCGGCATGGGAATTGTTATGACCTTGTATATCTCACTAGCAACTCTAGGATACCTACGCTTTGGGGATGAAATCAAAGGCAGCATAACTTTAAATCTGCCACAAGATGTATGGTAGGTGGATATACGATTTAAAAGTTTTACTCTACAGGAGTTTTAGAAATTAAATATACTTTGCAGAGGGGTTTTATGTTCCATATACAGCACTGTGTGGTATTTTGTATTGGGTTTTAAATTAATTATGCATCAATCAAATCACTTCTCTGGCTTTTTAATAACTTTAACATATTGAGCTCTTGAAACATTTGTGTAGTTCTTCCCTGAACCCTCTCCAGTTTTTCAATTTATTTTAAAAATGTAGACATAAACTGGTACACAGTATGTAGCAACATGTACTAGTGCTGTATACCAAGGTAAAATCATCTTTCCATTAGTCATGTCATTCTCAGTGGTGTCTACTTTTTGAGTGTTGTCAAGTATATAGTTCTTAATCTATTTCACATGTTGTTTTTTACCTGCCAGTGTAATATTTTGTTCTAGTTCAGCTCCAGTTACCAAAGACACATTGAGTAAGTTATTTCTGTACAACATGAAGAAGTCCTGTGAAAAGAGACCCTGAGTGAGCTCTGTATATGCTAGCTCTGGAACTGGAAACAGAATGAATAGCCATGTTAGCATTAACAAACATCAGTGAAATAGTTCTGCTGAGAAGTGGGACTTACTAGCTAGAGCATGGAGCCAGGCTGATGTGACTGTACTACTTGCAGTTCCCAAGCCACCATGGGCAGAGCTAGGTCAAGTAACTCTGAATGGCATTGCCTTCTGTTATATGCACATTCCCTAAAGGATTATTTTTGTTCCCAGATTTTGGGTTCCTTCTACCAGTGATACAGAAAAAAATCTGTAAATGTGCATAATCTTGCAGGATGTTCTTTTTTCTGTTATCAAATCCACCTCAGTTTTTCCTTCTCCAGACTATATAACCCTTGGTTTTTTTCAGACTTTCCTCAAGTTTTTTGCTTCCCAGGCTCCTAATAATTTTTGTTTCTCTGCGCCGGACTCTTTCCAAAATATCCACATCCTTCTTGAAGTGTTGGGCCCAAAATTGGACGTTACTCCAGGTGAGGCCTATTCAGTGCTGAATAGAGCAGAAGAACCCCTTTTCTTGGTTTGCAAGTGGAATTCAGAGAGTCATAGAAGGTTAGGGCTGCAAGGGCCCTCAGGAGGTCATTTAGTTATCTAGCTCAAAGCAGGACCATCCTGAACTATATCATCCCAGCCAATGCTTTGTCTAGCTGGCAG